TTCCTTTTTTTTACTTTTTTATTTTATATCCTTGTTATATTTATATTATTATGGTCATATAATTAAATATAAAAAATTCAAAATTAGACTATTTTGAAGGTATTGACGAAACGATTATAATAGTGTAACTTGTTAAAATAAAAATATATTTTTAACGTGTTTTTGTTTAATTTACAATTATGTATGTTAATGTGATAAAAGTGTAAAACGAAAAATGAAAAAATAAGGGATGTACTCAAAAATTAAATAAATGTAATGGTATAAAGTGTAAGTGATAAAAATATTCTTTTGTAATATATATCATATGATAATATAATTTAAATCAAAAAATATTTAATATTGGGCTAATTTTGAAGGTATTGACGAGACAATTTATAATGGTATAATTTGTTAAAATAAAAACATATTTTTAAATTAATATACACTTATGTATGTTAATGTGATAATGATGTAAAACGAAAAATGAAAAACAAAGGGACATACCATAAATTACACAATTAACTATAAGAGTATAAAGTATAAGTGTTAAAAAATATTTTTTTCGTAGTAATATGTGATATAATAATATAATTAAATAAAAATATATTCAGTATTGGACTTATTTTGAACGTATTAACAAGACGATTATAATTGTGGAACTTGTTAAAATTAGAACGTATTTTTTTAAACGTATTTTAGTTAATATATAATTATGTATCTTAATGCGATAAGGGTATAAAACAAAAAATAGAAAAAACAAAACTATAAAAATAAATTAATTAAGTAACTCTAGGATTTGAAGTATAATTTTAAAATTAAAAAATGTATTAAAAAATGAGTATGTAAGATGAACAAGATGAATAAATGATATGAAAATGCTTTCTGATAGGTTAATTTCGTTATTAGATCTAATTTTAGTTAATATAAAATTATGTATTTTAATGTGATAATGGTGTAAAACGAAAATTGAAAAAATAAATGATACACCATAAATTAAATAAATAACTATAAAAGTATAGAGTGTAAATATTAAAAAAAAAATATTAACCACAAGGGTGGTGCCTGATTGGTTTGAGCTTGACTCCAAAGGTTAAAAGTATCAGGAGGTTACAGGTTCAAATCCAAAGAGGTATAAAAATCCTCTTGTGGCCATAGAAGTTCAAATACGGTGACTCCGGGCTATCTGCAAAGCAAGTGGTCGTTCTAGGATTAGTCGACTCGCATAGCAGGTTGGATATCCAGGTTAATCAAAAAAAATATTAAAAATATTTTTTCATAATATATACAATATATAATAATATAATTAAGTCAAAAACTATTCAATATTTGACTCATTTCGAAGGTATTAACAAGACGATTATAATGATGTAACTTGTTAAAATGAAAATTTATTTTTTAAATATATTTTAATTGATATACGATTACGTATATTAATTTGATAAATATATAAAATAAAAAATTTAAAAGTAATTAATTACTAATTATAATGTAAATTTTAAAAAATTCGGTCACGTGGAGGTGAGTGAGCAACGATGTGAGAGGAGGGGCCACCACAAATGGCGAAAGGGGTAGGGGAATCTCAACACCACCATTTAGTATCTGCAGACTCCTTCACGCGCTTAAACTCATCGCGTGTTATGAGTTCCTTTCAATTAACAATTTGTTTTCCCACCAACCATCAGTATCGTCTTCGACCCACACGGGTCTTCCAACAAGGATCCAGCCTACCTTGAAATCTAGAAGATAACAATTAATTTAAAAAACTTTTATTTAATTCTAAAGTTGACTCCAGGTTCAAATTAAATCCTTGAGTTACTTACGAGCTAAACCAAATTAAAAGACTAAGGTGGCGTTTGTTTTTTAAGAGGTGTTAAAGTCTGAATTCACTTCTGAATTTTAAGAGGTGGTGTTGAAGTCTGAAATCTGAATCAGTCAGACTGTTTGTTTTTACGTCTGAAATCTGAAATCTGAAATCTGAATCAGTCAGACTGTTTGTTTTTACGTCTGAAGTCTGAAATCTGAATCAGTAAGACTGCTTGTTTTTGTAAATTGAGACAAGCGACGTAAGGAGGCGATAGAAATAAGAGGTTTTAAGTGCTAGGGTTACCACTTAAAAATTCAGAGGAAAATAAACGAATTCAGCTCTTAATTTGAAAAAAAAAAAACAAACGATCTGAAAGTTCTTATGTCTGACCGATTCAGACATAAGAGGAGATTAAGTGAAAAATTAAAAAACCAAACAGCCCCTAAGAAACTTTCAAACCAAATCTCATATGAGGACTAGTTTAAAAACGAGTGTTACTAAAACCCAACGACAATCGCTATCTCCAAAGTACGGAATACGTCCTAAAAGGCAAATCCTCCTCAAGCTTCTTACTATAACTCAACTCTTCACACGTGTCACTAGCACTACACCACAAGGACCTAATGCACATGTAAGAAAGAAAAAGTGTTAGGTTTAACAACCAGTGAATTCAAACAATTTTCATCTTTAATATAAAACAACAAAACTGAAAGAGTGCTCTCTAAACCACAAATTTTCCAAATAAAAGAAACAACTTTCCCAAAATACACCATTTCGTGATAAAAACTCAATGGTTAAAGCACTCATTTTAACATGAACCAAAACCCAATACTCACAAGTTTGCTGATAAATATCCAAAAACTTGATGACGTTTGAAGCGCTAAACGTCCGCCCTAACCTTCCTAAACAGTCTGAAATCCAATAATTAGATCACCTAATGGGTCTCGATAAAGATAAAGTCAAATTATATCTTA